AATTTAGTTTAGTATTTTCTTACTGAATGTAATGGCTTTTCTTGATTTTTTTGGGGGGGCCTTTTAGTAATAGATGAGCAATTAAAATTCTATGTATATGTCATGACATCTTTTTCTCTAGGTGAATTACTGAAAGTGAAATTACTGGAACAAAGAATATAAATATTTTTAATGTTCATTATCTGATTCAAAATTGCTTTCCAGAAAGATTTTTATGTAAATTGTACCTTTTTTACCCATTACTTCTTTTGTATCTCTCTTATATATTTGAACTATTTTTGTATAGATCAAAGGTTAACTTTTTGTTATAACTGTAGATATTTTTTCGGAGTTTGACACTTTGAGTTTTTTGGCGTTTTTGAATAATAATAAACAGTACTTTGGAATAACTTTAAATTCCCAGAAAAGTATAAATATGGAGAGCCCCTTTCATTCGGTTTCCCTTGAGACTAACATCTCACCTGGCCACGCACATTTGTCAAAATTAAGAAGTTAGCAAGAGCGCAGGAAACTAATGAAAGTCTGTGTCCTTTTCCTCTTTCAGGATCCATTCCAGGCTTCACAGCACAGCTAGCCCAATTGCTTTTCTTTTTCTTTCTTATTGAAAGCAGATTTTTAGTTTTAGACCCTTTTGCTATTTTGTTATTTTTTTCTATTGTATTGCGGTTTTAAAATTCATTCCCTTATTGATGTAATGTGGCTAAACATATTTTATTTCAGTTTTACTATGGTTTCTTATTTTCATCTATTTTGCCACTCCATCCTTAACTATTTTTTATATGGAGTTTATTTAGCATGAGAGAATCATTAGCTTCATTTTTCCCAAATAGTTGAGTAATTATAAATCCATGTACTAGTTATTGAATAACTTTAACTTTTTCAGCTGATTTGTATTCATTTCATGTGCTAAACTTTGGTGTGTACTGAGTTTTATTCTAGGACTGCTCTTTTAATCCTTTCTTTGGCCAAAGGGTGCCAATATATTTTCATAACTGAAGTTGCATTTACAATTGCACTTTGTGGTAAAGTACATTTCTCGTTTGATTTTTCCTGTCGGAATTCTCCGAAGTATTACTGCTTGGAAATTCTTTCATGAGAACTGTAGGATCTCTTTATCAATTTCTAGAATACCCTTTGAGTGCGTGTGTCCCATGAACTATAAGCTGAAGTCTCTGCGGTGATGTTCCCAGGAGGAAGCGTGGGAGGCGTCTGTCTTTTAAACTCATTGTCCCTGCCTTGGAGTCTTAATCTGGGTGATCATGTAACCCCCTCCATTTTCATCTGCACCTTTATCGGAGAAATGCCTTCTTGTGTAGAGCACTGGGGATTCAAAAGGGTCTCTGGCCTTGAGGACTCCGAACCATGGAGGAGGAGGCAGCCGTGTAAACCTCCTGCCCCTCTGAGGCCATGTGAGGGAGCTCCGCATGCACACGGGACATGCACGCCTACGTCCAAGCGTCCGTGTGCTGATCGGAGAGGACGGAGGCATCCCCGTCTGGGGATTTAAGACAGGCATCTTCCTAATGAATACCCGCCAGCAAGAACCCCTGGGAGGGTGAGCTGGGTGGGCCGGTAGGGGTGGGGAGTGTGGGTGACGGGATGTCATGGGCTGAGGTACACATGGAAGGCTTGACGGGGTTTGGTTGGTTCAGAGAACTGTCTGCAGTTTGTTTCTAGGGTTTTCAAAGGTGGGGAACAGCAGGATATGAAACTAGAGAAATAGCCACAGGAGGGGCTCACGGGAAGATTTTAAGCAGGAGATTAACATGATTCGCTCTGCAGTGTGCATGGGTGCTCCTGCGGTCACGTGACGTTTATGACGGGTGGAAGGGGCAAGGCTGAGGTGCAAGGCCAAGAGCAGGCTGAGACTTGCTTGTGGGTCATCCTGTAGATATCAGGGAAGACATGTATTCGAGAGGTGATCCGAAATAAAACTGGCAACACTTACTGGTTTCTTGGCCCACAAAGGATAGCAGCCAAGATGGACACTGCGTTTGCTATGTGGCCATCAGTGGTGACCCCACCGAGGAGGTCCTGCCAAAAGGAGGGGCAGGTTCATGCAGCAAGGGTGGCTGGTTCTGCCCTTGAGGCACTTGTGGCACTTAAGGGATGTGTAAGGGGGCGTCACCAGCCCAGACATCTGATGAGCCAGGGCTAGAGTTGAAGGTTAGGGGAAAAAAATAAAATAAAAAGGTCGGCATGTACAGGTACATTCTTCCTACAATATGATTTACATGGGTTTGTTTTTTTTTTTAAGAATTACGTAAGTTCTGCCCAGCGTGAGCCCCTGTCCTGACCTAACATTGAAATGCCCACTTCTGGGGAGTCCTTGCAGCCCCTCCCTTCACCTCAGAAGCAGCAGCTCCAGCCCAGGGGAGTGGAGTGACCTGGGAGGTTGTCATGGGTCTGATCCGATTTAATCGGGCTGCGGCAGCTGGGGCTTCAGAACGCTCACCCGGCCATTCCAGCGTGGGCTGGAGGCTGAGCGCCACTGTCCTAGACGGCATCTTTCCTGGTTTGAAATAGTGCTTGCTGGATGTGCGCTCTGTCCCTGGGTAAGGAGCAGAGTGGGTTGACTAAAGGACAAGTGCCCACTTCGGACTTGGGCTCCTTGTGTGAGTGATCACCACGGAGCCAGGTGAGGCCAGGCCACCACCACCTGCCCACCCTGGGGCTTTTGCCTCCTCCCCTCACTGTTGCTCCGAGAGTTGCTCTGGGCCGGCAGCCTCCTGTCTGCTCCCAGGCCCTACGCTTCCCAGTCTCAGGGGGCTCTGTTCCACCCTCCACTTGGCCCTGCTTTGCCCCCTGCGGAAGGAAGGAAGCCCAGCTCGGAGCTATCCCAGGGTCCGCCCCAGCTCCAGGCTGAGGACTCTTGCTTGGCTTGCTTGGTGGGTTGGGTTTGTTTTTGCAGAGGGATGGATATGGGAGGAGTGGCTCTCAAAGACATTTCGGATCTCTTAACTGAACAAGCAGTGCACCCGAGAGCGTGTAGTACCTCAGGGTCTCGGCCTGTCAGAGACGACTCTGGAAGCGTTCTGTTTTCTGATGACCCGTGTTTGTATTAGTCTCCTTTTGAACTCCAGCAGCGACCCCCAAAGAAGCAAACTCGGAAGGGGTCTCTGTCTGCTGTGCCCACACGGGTTCTGTCAGCTGAACTGCTGCAGATCCTTGAAGTCGGGCTTCGCAATCTGAATCCAGATTATAATCTCAATGTCATTAACATCTTGTAATGAAATAGATGCAGCCTAATAACCTGCACAGCAATCTGAATAACATCTGAAATAAGCATTTACTTTTGTTTCTCTTCCTGTGTTGGACAGAAAAACAACTGGTGTCTGTACATTATAAGGTGACCTTCCAAAAATATTTTGTTTCCATAGTTTTATCTCTTCCAGAAAAGATATAAAGCAGTGCTTTTGAGATCCAGTTTAAAATAAACTACGAGTAGGGGAAAAAATAGATACACGGTATAAAGTTAATACAAAACCCAAGCCCTGAACTCCTCCCTTTCACACTATTTTGATAGAGTCCTTACAAGAGAGCTCTAGCAAACATACATCTTGATATTTTCCCACTTTGAAAAAGTGTTTGTCAGACCTGCTCAACATACGTACTGACCTATCAGTTGTAAACTGTCACCTTCTTTCTATCAAACATCTCTGTGTTTTAAAGTCATGCGTGACTGGGGAAAAACTAAGGTGACCTGAAACATTCACTGTCTCCCGACTGAGGTGCTCAGTTCCTCTCGAGGTGAACTTAGCAGGGCTGCACTGAGTAAAATACAGTAGAGAGAGAGAGTGAGAGTGTGTGTGTGTGTGTGTGTGTGTGTGCGTGTACGCACGCGCGCGCGCAAAGTGTCTGTCCAGCCAAAAAGCTACGTTCCGCCAAAGGTAAGTAGCTTTCTCTTCGAGGTTGGCAATGGCTCCATGCAATCTCAGATCTTGGGGTTGAGTCCTGGAACAGAGAAGGACATGAATGGAAAACTTGATGAAATCCAAACAGTCAGGAATTTAGTAAGTTATCAGGTGCTATTGTTAATTTATTAGTTTGACGGATGCATTGTGGTTATATGTTAACAGTGGGGACATGGAACTCTGCTGTCTTTGCAACTTGTCTGCACATCTAAATTTATCACTGAACAAGATGTTTATTTTAAGAAAAAAGGTATTGCAGAATTTTAAAGGTTTAAAAATACGTTCCCAGATGATAGGTGCTGACTTTTATTTTCAGTGAAATTCACCATCGGGGAAATTTTAATTTTGCACTGCTGCCACTAGATGGCAACAAACGCCTAGTGTGCCCTTCCTAACATGTTGATCTGTTTTTCCTCTTTAAAAGGCTTTGTCACAACAAACAGAGCAAGGTATATCTCCCAGAGCCACCTTTTCCTCATGCAGAGGTAAGAAAACAAAATGTTGGAGTCAGGGTAGGAAAGAGATGTAGATGACTTGTAGATTGGGACAGTGGGCCATTAGAAAAAAATGCCTTGTGTAGCCCCAGCGTACACCCCTTTGCCTCCCAGGTGAGATGACAGCAAACTCACCTCGGGATCCTTTTGTCCCTCTCATGAGCACGTGTTTACCACTGTGCCTGCACGGTCCACAGCCTTCCTGTGTGCTGCTGACTGCAGGAACAACTGCGTTCTAATTCCTACTGCGAACCTTTGAGCAACAGGTTTATTATTGTCAGAATGTTCTTTATAGTTATGTCAACCATGTATATAGATGTTTATTCATGAAAACATTTTTAGTTTTTAAAAGAATAAAATTCCCCCTCCCTCACAGAACTGATGGGTATTTTTGTTTGGTTGAATACTCACTCAGTTTTGTTTCTGTTGCTTTTTTTTTTCACCAAGTGATGCATCTTGGACAGTTTTCTGTGTGCCTCATATTATTATTGCTTATTCTTTATTATATTATTAATATGTTTTTATTAAAAGGATGTTTGAGGGGAATGGGAAATGAGAGGGATCAAGAAACATCCCGTACAGGGCTGGGGATTTAGCCCAGGCGGTTTAGCTGAGCACGATGGCGCATGCCTGTGGTCCAGCATTTTGGGGAAGCTAAGTCAGAGCATCACAAGTTTAGGCCCCACTAGGTCAACTTAGTGAGTCCCTCTTTCATAATAAAAAGGACTGGGATGGAGGTTAGTGGTAGAGCACCCCTGGGTTCGATCATCAGTACCATACACACAGCAGAGGATGATTAAATTGGTACAAATACTTTAGCAAACAGCTTGGCAATGTCTGCGAGATCTGGACACATGCTCTGTGCCTTAGCAGTTTTATCCCTTAAGTATATACTAACTACTAAGTATGTGCTGAGTACACGGTGTGTTACCACCCAACAGCACACGTAAAACTCTTGATGGGCTTCTTGGTAACAGTACTGATGCACACCAGGTGTCCCTCAGCTGTGGCGTGGATTTTGTGGTATATTCACACAGTGGGACACTGCGTTCCTGAGAAAGAATTGACTCCCAAGTATACACAAACATAGTGTGAGAGGCCAGACATTAAAGAGTGGTATGGTGTGGTTTTATTCACATGAAAGTTCAGAAACATTACAAAGTAATACAGAAACCAAAATAGAGGTTATTTTGGAGATGGTGGGGTGACAGTAGAGACTGTAAGGAGAAAGGGATTTCCAGGGAGCTGGTAATGCTTTGTTTCTTGATGTACATATAGGTTTGTGCATGTGTTCAGTTTGGTTTTTAAAAAATCAAGGCTAGGAGTTCAATTATAAAAGGCAAAGGCTAGAATTAGTCTTATGTTGGCTTGAATTGGTGGAATACATACTTGCAGTATGTAGAGATAGACAAATATATTTGTTTAATGGATTTAGTTTTATGTGCAGTTTACTGTATGACACAGGAAACTGCAACAAATCATTGCTAATTATTTTAAATTAAAACTGCTATTTTCCTACGCCAGAGAATAGGTCACATGGAATGCCAAGTAGAAGGTTTCAAAGAAGTTATTTTTTAGTCCCCATACTTTACACGTGGTGTTCTTACAATCTGTCATTGCCACTGTAAAATTCGGGCTAGAAATGTAACATCAGAGAATACACCTAGAGGTGTAGCACAGTGATCGAGTGCTTGCCTCGCACAAACAGCCCTGGGTTCAATCCCTCGTAGCTAAAACAAAACAAAGTAAGCACGGGGAAACGCATTTTCTTGCTGTTCATTCCATCTGTGCTCTTCTTATTCCATCCACACCTGACAGCTGATTCACACATTCACAACAGGGCCCTGATGCCTGTGTCTCGCTGCCAGGTGGCTCTAATTTGAATCCAGTCATTCCCGCCGGCTCGAATCACTGTGGTACATGCACAAGGGTCCCATCAGGCAGCTTGTACCGTTTCTCAGGGCATCTCTGATTACAGTATTACAAAGAAAGGCGCTGAGTTAGCAGACCAGATGTCATCATTACAGTTCCTTAAGGAAAATATTAAAATGATATAAAAAATTGTAATACAGCTCATTTGTGGTACAGCAGTTGTGAATGCATATTACATACACCAGCAATCGAGTACTTGTAAGATTTCCATGTCAAAACTTAAAGAATTAACATTTATGATGAGACACAAATAAATTTAATTTAATAAAATAAATGTGCTTATAATATGAATGGTATGAATAGTATTAATATTTATATTTGGGTAGTAGTATTCAAATTCAAGCAGCAAACTAGATTCAGTTCACTTACAGTCTTTTAATTAATTTTATTAACAAAAAGACCAATAAAAGTGACTAGACCCATTTGTACCATCAGTGGTTCAGGCTGCCCAACGGGACAGCCATGCATGGACTTTGGTGATTCCAGCCAGCAGGAATGTGTTAAGGCCTCCAAGGTAGTGCTGCAGTCTTCCTAGTAAAGCCACATCTCTCCAATAAAAGGTTGAATCTTTAAGAGTGAAGAATTTGACTTCTTTGGGGGAATGTCCCAAGCTGGCCATGTCCTCACTTTTGGGATGATATTTGGGCTTGAGGTTGTTGACCAGGTCCATCTCATGCATTATGGTTGCTACTGGATTAAACCATGTCATGAATCATTTCTTTGTCCATTAAAAGACATCCCAGGAGATGTTTCCTTTGGCCAGTTTGGTGTTTAGGGCCTGTGCCTTCTGGATACTTGTCGTGTGACCTTCTGATGCCTGAGCAGAGAAGTGGGTGGGCCCAGGCAGCAGGGGTTTCTGAGCAGAGTCACAAGGCCTTCTGTGGTTGTAACTGTACATGGTGTTGTCTTATGACACACCTGACATCAGGAGAGCATTGTCAAACAGAGATTCTCTGGGATCAAAACATAAACTTTAGACAAGTTTAAGGCTCTGTGTGGCCTGCTCCTTACTATAGCTCTGTGTCCTCGGGACTTGAAATCTTCCGAATTTCTGAAAGTTGATTTTGTCTTTGTATTAAGCTGCTGTGTTAAGTCAGCCCAGTCTGCCTCTCAGAGGCAGTGCTGTATGGATGCACAGTCTACCTTGTGAGAAGGATTTATCTATTGTCATCAGAACTTAGTGATTCACATGTTGTTACGGCTGTGTCTAGATGTCCCCCCAAAGCCTCATGTGGTCATAGGTGGGGCTTTTTCAGAGGTGGATGGATCTAGGGTGTGTGATGCTGGGATTAATGCTAGGATCAAGGGCGTTAGGATTAAAGGTATGAGTGCTACCCACCCTAAGTAGCCTTGGGATAAAAGGGACAGAAAGAGCTGTGGTTTGCTTGCTGGTTTTGCTGCCTTCTGCCTGCCATGAACTATTTCTTCTCTGTGATATCCACCTGCCACACCACCCTGCTTCAGAGCCAGGTGATTATGGACTGAAACTTACACAAACTGTGAGCTAAATAAACCTTTCCTCCCTTACCTTGTGGGTATTGGGTATTTTGTCTCAGCAATGAGAAAAGTAACTAAAACATGTGTTGAGAAAGTTAATTGTTTTGTTAAACAATAACTGATATTGAGGACTTAAGCCACTTTTAGAGTGTCAGGAAGGGAGAAAAAGAAGAGTTTGACTAAATCGGGCTAGAGCACTTCATTAAAATTTCAGGTAGGAGAGTTCCAGGGTTTGGCTCAGTTGTAGAGAGCAGCCTGGCTTTTGTATTCCGTTCTCAGCATCACCAAACCAAAACACCAAAAAAAAAAAAAAAAACCCAGTTCCAAGAATGGTATTGCTAAAAAAATTAACTTTTCCTCT